CCCTTTGGATTTGGACTGTATTTGCTAAAGCTTCTAACTTCCAAAGCTGTACTGTCATTTTTTCATCATCATTCAGCTAAAGGTCCTGATTATATATAGATAGCAGGTACTGTCTTTGCCATTTGTTAGGAATGTGGGCACTGCCCTTTAAAAAAATAAAAAAGAATTTTTTAAAAATTTAAAAATAGTAATTTGAAGATTATTTTGTGAATGTGTTAATGCCAGCTATGGTACAAGTCCCCTTTCTGTTCCTCCCTCCATTATAAAGAACGGATGGAGGAACTTCCGAGAGATACACCTGTGGAGATGAGTTAGTTTGAGCTACTCGTCTGCCAGCCCCGCCCCCCCCAGCCCCCATTTGCCATAGTATCTGGACCTGTTCTGTAAAGTGTTCTAGTCATTAGCCATGTGCAGTTATTTTAATTTAATTAAAACTAAATATGATGTAAACTTCACTTCTTCCTTTATACTCGCCACGGTTCAGGTGCTTAATCACCAATAGCTACCATATTTTTCTGGTAAGATTTAGCTCATTCCCAGCAAGTCCCAAGGGACAGCCCGGGTTTGTATAACCAAAGGCGGCAAACCAGAAGCGGATGGGTAGTTATGAATTTGTGGCAGCAGGAACAGGAATGGGAGAGCTTTCCAACCATTTTCTCTGCCTCCCTGTGCCCTCAGGGATCTCTTCAACGCCGCATTTGTGTCGTGCTGGTCGGAACTGAATGAAGACCAGCAGGATGAGCTCATCAGAAGCATCGAGTTGGCCCTCACCTCTCAAGATATTGCTGAGGTCACGCAAACTCTCTTAAACCTGGCTGAATTCATGGAGCACAGTGACAAGGTGAGACTCTTCCCCTTTGTCCAGATGGAGGCTGACAAGGAACCAGCTGGTGGGAGGGGAAAGCATCCACACAGCCCGCTCTTGTTTGTGCCCCATCTGCCACTTTCCTGCGCTGCGGTGTTCTGCTCTCCTCCAGGGGCCCTTGCCGTTGAGAGATGACAATGGCATTGTCCTCCTGGGCGAGAGAGCCGCCAAGTGCCGAGCGTACGCCAAAGCCCTGCACTACAAAGAACTGGAGTTCCAGAAAGGTCCCACTCCCGCCATCCTCGAGTCCCTCATCAGGTAAGCCTGAACTCTTTATTGTCTGCTTCATCCAACATGACCCCTGCTCTCCCACTGCCTGGTGCTACCGCGCTGGCGTCGCTTAGAGACTTCCGCTGTGTGAGAGCTGCCACCGGGCCTGGCCAGCACTCTGAAATGGCGTGTGGTTGCAGATGGCTCTCTCCAGTAGTCTGGCTGTGATTGTTATTTCTGTTGAGCACTTAGACTCGGCCTCTCCGTTTTCCAGCCTGTGCCTTCCGGTCCCAGTGATACCAGCCCAGGAGCAGAGCAAGCCTGCCAGCACAGGGACCTAGGAGACAGAGATCTGTTAGGTGGTGCTTTCTGGGCAGGATTAGGTTGTCCTGGCAACTAAACCTCTTGGTTCCTTGGTCTTCCTTTGGATTCTGTGAATATAAAAGGGATAGCAAAGGCTGAGATCTGGTGGTCTTTTCCCTGGATTTGGTTGTATTCTGCCCTCTCATAAGATGGCTTTGAGTCTTCTGGGTATGGGATAAAGAGATTGTTTAATAAATTTTCTCCTGTTGTGAGATTTGAAGCAGCCCAGAACATTAGCTTTAGCTCATAGAAAACTGTTCTTGTTCCCTAATGATTATCAGAGAATATTAACTCTGGATCTAATTATCTTCATGGAAATGCTGACACGATCGATCAGTTCATTGCAGATCCCTTGGGAAGAACCAGCTGCTAATAAGTTCCTGTTATTATTCCATACTCGTAGAGCCTGCTGAGTATGGTGCTTCCTTTATTTGAGTAGATAATCAAATCACTGTATTCTCTGCTGGTTCCGCCTTTAAGCAGATGCTGACAAGTGTTCTTTTTGACAAGTGACCCAAAAGGTAGCAGTGGAATCATGTTTCTGCCCAAACACATTGGCGTTGAAGTAATGCTGATTCTAAACTGCCATACAGGGACAGTTGAGAGCGCCACCCACCCACTGAGGCATGCCTCAGTGTCGCATTAGACACGGCAAGGGCGGAGGAGACCCATGTTTCTTCCTCCTATCCCTGGCATAGGCAGCGCACGCTCATGCGATAACTACTAGAAAGTATACTAACTCGAAATACTAGCCTCACTGGCAGATAACTAGTTTTGACATTAGTGTCCTTGCTGACCCTTTCCTGTGTGACACCTATCGTCTAAAGCCTCCCCAGCCCACTCTTGGTTTTCCCCATGTTTGAGACAGTCATAGAAGCATTAAACCTAGTGCAGATTTGTTAGCAGACAGAGTTACAGGCCTAGAAAAGTCTTCAAAAACATCATTTGATCTTAAGCCAATATAATTAAGTCCTCAAAATTCCACACACGTCCAGGTGTGGTAGCACACACCTGTAATCCCAGCACTCGGGAGGCTGAGGCTGGAGGATCACTGTGAGTTTGAGGCCAGCCTTGGCTGCATAGTGAGTTCAAGACCAGCCTGAACCACATAGCAAAACCATGTCTCAGAAAACCAAAACAAAACAAAATTCCCTACAAGTTAATTGTGGCTATTTTATTTTTAAACTCCATGCTGGGAAGTCCTCGCTCTTAGCCCCTCAGGCCCAGTCAGCTGGTTCGTCTCGATGCGAGTCCTGCCCCAGAAGGGGCACAGCCTGGCGACTCCTCTCAGTTCCACACCCTGAGGTTGAACAGCTGAGCGCCCCTTCTTTGGTCTGGTGTTGGGAACGGGGTTTTTCAGGCATAGATTGAATTGTATCCTCACAGCAGCGTGTGGAGAGCTCATAGCTGAAGTCCTGCCCCTCCCCAGTAAGTTACAGGCAGGGTACCTGTTGTGAACATTAAACCCCACCTCCCCGCTGCATTATTTTATTTTTCCTACTCTTACATTCCCTTTACCACTTACTCTTTTAGAGCTTATAAGTTTATTATATTTAAGGCAACTGCCTTAACTCCTTTTTCAAACAGTTGAGTACTCCCTACAGAAAACCGTCTTTGTGTAGCCATTTCTATTTTTGTCTTTAAAAATTGTGCTCTGCTGACAATATTGTTCTCAGGCTGCTGATTCAGTCCACCTGTCTTCCTGTCGCCTTGTTTACCTATCTGCTCCAGGACAAGTGAAATCCCACGTTATCCCCAAGCAGGTCCAACAGGGAGACAGTATAAAAACAGTGCCATTGTCCTCAGAGCTCACAGGCATCGTAAGCATAACTGCATCCTAGGGGGACAGTGGATTGAGGGGCTGGATTATCAGGAAATATACATACCTCAAAACTGCGGCTTTTCCCTGGTCAGGCAGAGGCCCGCTGGACTCTCTTCTTCCACCCTAAATAGAATATAGGGTCTAGTTGGAGATGGACGTTTTCACTGTCCAAGCCCTGACTTGTCCCCCTTTAAAAAAATATTTCTGATTCAGACTGCAAGACTAAAAATAAAAGCGAGGACCAGTGTTCAGCAGGTGGCCGTGCCCGCCAGGCCGCTGCGTCTGTGTCTTCTGCGCAGTATTCGTTCGTGTGCCTCCTGCTCACAAGGAGGATCTCAAAGGCCGTGGTCAGAACAGAGTTCTTCGCCTTCAGGGGCAATGCCAAGCTCTGCGCTTGATTCTTGGTGATGCTGTGCTCTCTCAGCTCAGAGTCTGTGGGCCACACCTTCCGTGTCCACCATCAGCCTGAGCCAGAACAGGTGCTTGGGAAATACAGGTGCCACGGGAGTCCACACCACTGCAGGGAGAGTGGCTGCGATGTTCTGTGTATTCTCTGACAGCTTCTCTCCCTTCTCCCTCTGCCCTTTTCTCTGAGAAGTTTCTACCAAAATGCTGTTTATATAAGCTGTTGTCTATAATCCCAACTGCATAGGAGGCTGAGGCAGGAGGATCATGGGTTTTAGGCTAGCTTCGGTAGCTTAACAAGACCCTGTCTCAAAATGAAAAATAAAAAGGGTTGGGCACCAGGCGTGATGGCACGCATCTGTAATCCCAGCACTCAGAGGCTGAGGCAGAAATACCGTCATGAGTTGGAAGCCAGCCTACGCTACATACGAGACCCTGTCTCAAAACAAAACAAAAGAGCTGGGGGCATAGCTCAGTGGTAGACCACTGGCCTAGCATGCAAGAGGCTCTGGGTTCGATCTCCAGCACCACAGAAAGGTGAGGGGGTGAATGAGAAAAATATTTTTTTAAAAGGCTGGTTTGACCTAAAAGCCTCTGAGGGAAATGAGAAAGATTAGCTCTTTCTGCCAGGGGTCTGCTGCTCCACCCACCCTTAAGCAGCCACTTTTTGTGTCCATTCCGCCTAGCAGTGTGGGGTGAGCGCCCTAGGTCCTCCCCCTGCCTGAGGAGGCTTCTGTGTGACTTTCTGTGGGAAGGCCTGCTCCAGCACAGTTCTTCTTAGTCGCTTTATTTCTTTGCAAACCCTCAAATCCTTGTTTTTAAGCTGAAGAAGCTTCCCAAGAACCAGAGGGCTGTAGGCATAATAGAAAACGCCGAGTAAGAGAAATGGCTTAGCTTACACTGACGGTGCGTGTGTGTGCGAGAGAGAGACAGACAGACAGACAGAGAGAGGAGAGAGAGAGAGAGACACAACATCCAAAGATCTTCAGGACTATTTCCCACCTCTTGTATTAAGATAATCTTCTTTTTGTTTTTAATAGAAAATAGAAAACGTTTGCAAAGCATTTTAAAGCTGTGCGGTGGCAGTGGCCTGCATGGGTTAGTGAGTGGGCCAGCATCCAGTCCTTCCCCAGGGCTGCTGCCCTTTTGTTGCTCTGTGGTTTCTTGGCTTCCTGCTCCTCCTTGGTGTCCCTGAATCCTCAAACAAGCTCAGTCCCCTTCTCACTACAGAATCTGGTGGTTTTTTATTTTATTTGAATGTTTCACCACACTCTAAATGGTAATGAGAAGAGTTAAAAAGCAGATACTCAAGTTTTAAGTATGAAGAGACCTTTGAACCCTTAAGTCACACACTAGCATATTTTATTTTTTACAAAGCAAGATGCTCATATACAGCGTGAATTGTTAACCATAGCGCCACCTGTCTTCATTTTGCAGCCGTTTCGTATAGACAGGATAAAAAAGGAAGCTCTTTGGGTCCTTTCTTACAAAGTCAGTAAAAGTGGATGCATCGCTGCTGACCGTGACTGCCGTGGTGGCTCTCAGCACGTGTGTGTGAGGGACTGTGCACACTGCCCACCGCCCACCGCCCCTGGCGGCCCCTTGCTGCGCCAGACTCGCGTTGCGCCTCTTGGTGCTGCCCTGGCCCTCGTGGCCGCACGGTGCTCCAAGGGTCCAGTCGAGAGGCCCAGGGCCCTGGAGTCTCCTCAACAGACTCCAACAGCTCATCTCCAGCCCAACAGCTTTTGTGTTTTAAAAGATGAAAGGCTAAAGATGATTTCATTTGATTTAAAAGCAGTTTCCTCTCCGCTACCACCCGCTTCTGCTCCTTTCTGTAACACCCAAGGCCTCATCTTTGAGAATCAAAATAGCACAGTCATTTTTAGCAGAGGGGTTTGGTTTTTGCCCTCGCATAACTTAGAGAGAATGAATAAATGGTTGCTTTGTCAGGGGTGAGGGGCAGAGTGAGCCCACTCGGCCCGGCCCCTGAGCAGTATGTGGCAGGAACCGCTGGGTTTCAGTGCTTCGTCCCATTTACGGGACATCCGTGGTACACACTGTTTCGTTGTGCGCATGTGCCGGCTTCAGCAGCACACATAATAAAATCTTTAACTCTTCTCAGAGAGTTCCCCTGTCCTTGAGCTTGCAGGCTGTCGCCCACCCTGCCCTTTCCACAGCCTCTCCCTGTCCCACACTGCCCTCAGTCTGCTCGTGTCTCCTTGCCGCAGCCCTGCTCCGCAGCAGCCTCCTTTCAGGGCCTGAAGCCTTCTGGGCGGATTTTCATCTCCACCCGCTTGAGGGAGTAGTTGGCGCCATGCCAGCCGTACCAAGTGATGCCATCCAGGTGCTGCTTGTGGTCGCCCTGGCGGTAGTACACCCCGTTGAGGTTGGAGTCCGTGCAGCAGTTGTACCAGTATCCACCTGGCGTAAGAAGCAGACCAGGCTGGTAAGCGGAGGGTCCCCTCCCCTCCGGATAGACCATGGCTGCTTAGCCTCAGGGAGGCAGTTAGAGCCCACAGCGGGAAGGACAGCAGCGGCATGGCCCTGACTGAGATCATGGGCATGGTGTACCTTTTCCGTCCCCATCCGGCTCTCACCTTTGCGGAGCTGTGCACACATGTCCAAGCAGTTGTCATTGTCCTTGTCCTTGGTGCTGAAGACTGTGTTGTTGTGGTAGAGGAGGGCGTTGTTCCCCACGTCACCGCTGTAGTTCCCCAGGAAGAGGCGGTAGCTGTTCACTTCATTGGCCACAGCAAAGTGGCTGTACTCCGCATAGCGCACCTCACCCTCCCAGTCCTGGCGGGGAAACAGAGCCTTAGAGAAGCTACAGAGGGCTTCATTTCACACGCCTCGTACCTCCTCTCCCCTAGCCCCTCAGCCAGACCTCTGTATAGGTGGGAAATAATAGGATGTTATTACTTGTTGCCTCTAGTTGACCATATTAGCTGGGAATCAGCACACAAGGGTCCTCGTGAGACTTCTCCCTGTATTAGCCATGTGGCCTTGATTCATCTGCCTGTGTTCCTCGCCTCCCTGTCTGAAGGTATAGTACGAGTTTGTGCTGAATCCCCTCCGAAATGCATAAGAGCAACAAGACGCTATTGCTTCTGGAGGGTACTAACAAGTATCACCAAGGCTTGCATGTGAAAGCCCTCGTGCCCCAGGCCTGAGCAGATACAGTGGTATTTGGCTCAGCTGACTATTGAGTTTGCTCTGGTCTGACTTGGCCTGGCATGGGTCTGCCTTGTCCTGCACCTCTTCCTGAGAACTAGTTTACTAAGAAATAGGGGGAAAAAATCCAAAAAATGCTTTCTCATCTGTGCTGCAACGTACAAGAACGCCACAGTGAATATACAGGCAGATCTAGGGATGGCATCCCCAGGGTCCTATGCAGTGACATGTGGCAGACCAGAGCCAGTTCTGGGCCCTAGGCCTCCAGCTCACCTCCAGTTCCACTCGGAGCCGGGTTGGCTGTCTGGTGAGCCGGTGGATGTGTTCGTTACCCAGCCAGAAGTCCCCACGGATGCTGCCGAAGCCCTGCTTATACTGCTTCCAGTCCTGGTAGAAGGAGACAAGGCCACTCCTTCGTCTCTGGATGATGGTCCAGCCTCCACCGGAAGTCTCCATGTCACAGAACACCTAGAACAGAAAGAGTGCTCTGGTCAAGACTTGCAGGGCAGATGGCAAGGGCAGTGATGTGTGTACTCCTCACAGCAGCAGTGCTGCCGCCCGTGTGGGAGAGCCGGGGCCCGTTGATTTGCTTAGGAAGAACTGGCCAAATTGGAGATGAGGGAAAGTATGTATAATACAGCTTGAAGGGGGCAATCCAGGTATTTCCAATATGCCTTCTTCACATTCTGTCTGCACCTTTCCCAGACAATAGCTGCTCCGGGACATTGCCAAAGATTTAAACTAGTGATGGGGTGGTTATAAGCATTATCTAATCTATGTTAGAAGGTTGGTGTTCAATTGGTAATGATTTGAAGGGACCAAACAGAGGCCCAGCGTGGGGAATAAGGACCCATCAACTGAGGGTTTGCACGACTCCTCCAAGTTTCCCTTTCTAGATTCACCATGACTGGTCCTGGTGCGTCCCTGCCTGCAGGGACGGAGTGCAGGCAGCAGAACACAGGCAGTGCGTGGCTGCAGTGAGCTCACCTCCAGCTCGGGGCTGCCCAGGAATTCGTCTGGAGGAAGCTTGTACACCCCAGAGATGTGGTAGTTCTTCTGGTAGAGGGAAGAGCAGTCATAGATGGCATCTGCAAGCAGAGCGTGCACAGGGTGAGCAGAGACTCCACGTCTGAACAGTGCAGCTGAAGACTGAGACTCCTTTCCACCCAGGACTCCCAAGGGTGCTAATCCCCAGGCAGTCTCTGGATTTGGAGAAGTGGCACAGGGAGATCAAACGGTGGCGTGTTTGGGCTTCTCTAGTGCTGGGACAGAGGGCAGGGAGCCCTTCCCCTGGACAGTGGCACAATCAAGTGGTTGAGTCAAAATAAATTAGCCTGCTGTAGTTCTGGGCTGTGACTCCTAGAGGGGGTCTGGTGTGTGAGCGCCGCATTATACGTGGCCCTGTACGTAGCCTCAGACTGCTTCAGTCGCCTCTGTTACAGGACAAGTCTGAGGGTCTCAGGGGCCTGGCTTCTTGTTTCTTGGTTTCTGTTGCCTCTCCGAAGTAATGGCTACTGCCCGCCGGCATGCTAATTTAATTAAGGGAGATAAATACTGCAATCTTATCTTCCCCGTGCCCTCATCCAACAGGGCTAGATCTTCAAACCAAAAGTGGGAAGAACCCTGAGGTCTTCCCCTGAAATAGGGAAATGAGATTTTCCAGTTTCCTTCTGGAGTTGATTTAAATGCTTCGTCGGCTGCCCTTGGGCTATTGCTTTGTGCTGGGTTCTCTTCCCGCACTAAATATCAAACCAGGCTGTAAAAGAAATAGCCTTTTCCAGGAGGAGTCAGAAAACGAATTCTGGTCTAGGAGATGCTTTATGCCCTCCCTGCCTTGGAATTTTTCCCTTGGTGACTCCTGGTCTGGGGTTTTAGAGAAAAGCACAAGGATGGCAGAGGGTGGCAGAGGGTAACAGTGCCGCCATGAAAATCGTCCAAAGTGCCTCACTTTCCTCACAGAGCATGCTGGGGGAGAGAGCAGGGGAGCACTGGCCATCAGCCTCCGAGTTCTGCACGGCCTGCGTGGTGAACGTCTCAACTCACTGCTCACTCCAGCAGGCTGCCAGTTTAGAGAGTGTAGAGGCGACCCAGCCCTGGGCACAGGGAAGGAAAACAAGGAACAGTACCCTGGGCAAGGAGAGTGAGAGGGTGAGCAGGAGGGCTGCGTCCTACCCAGGAGACTGCCTGCTTGGGCCATGAGAAGGTGCCCTGTTGAGAGGTGCTGGAGGTGGCACGCTCAGATCTCTCCCTCTGTCCTGACCTTCCAGATGTCTGCTTTCATCTCGAAGGCCAAATCAGGACTCATTTGTCTGGAAAATGGCTCAAGAATACCTTTCTACTTTGCTTGACCTGAAGCGACCAACAACTTATTAGAAGCTGGTCGCGTCTTTGCTCTTGATTTGTTTTATAACGCAGCCAGTAGTTCTTAACATTAGCAAGAAATGACATATCTATAGGATATGCTCTTTCAACTACTTTCTTGATAATCTCAGAAAGCCAAATTGAGCTCTAAGCCAAATGCACATCAGCCCGTCTGCCAAGCAAACCAGCAACTGAAAGTTACTTTGCAAAAGAAAGTGTGTGTTATTTTTGGCCATTAAAAAAAGCCGTATTTCAGCGTTGCGCTTGCTTATTTCTTACGTTTCTTGGGAGAGTTTCATTTGACACCATGGGGAAAATGGAAATATCACCTTGAGGAGCCTGGACGAGCCTGTCCTTCCCTGAGCACAGAGGGCTTCCTCAGATGGCCACGGGCAGTGAGCGTCTCCCACTTAGTTCTCACTGGTAAGAAGAGTTTGGCTTTCGAGATAGGACACAAAATCTCCTAGTGCCCATTCCTGCCACATTTTAGGGACACGAGAGAACTGTTTTTGGGCAAAACTTCGTGAGCAGAGCAACAGATGTCACGGTTTGGTGTCCGTTCTTGCTTGGGGCTAGGGGTTCAGTCCATCTGCTCTTGGTAAGAAGTGGCAGGGCCGCACCAGCCAGAAAGATGTGAACCCCACCTCTGCGATTTGCTTATGACTTTGGGTAAACCCTTAATTGCTTGGTGCCCCTCGGTGTGAATGAGTTCCTTCTTAATTTGTTGAAACATTGGGTGAATAAGAGACCTGTGGAGGTACTGGACAGATTTACAGAACATTAGAAAGGAAAGCCTTTGGTAAAAGCAATGGACACCTGGAGGAGCCCCCAGAACTGTTCCGGGGAGCAGGTAATCTGAAGCAGTGTGGGGAACAGGGAGGCCTTTGGCCGCCTGTCAGGAGCGGCGAGGGGTGTGCGGACACGCGCGCCTTACCTGCGGAGGTCTGTGTGACGGTCTGCGCCGCCTGCAGCTGCATGATGTCGAGCTGGTTGTTCATCTCTGAGTACTTGCTCTCAGCGTCCGTGAGCCGCGACTCCAGCCGCTTGCTGGTGCTCTCCAGCTCCATCACCTGCATGACCACGCTCACCCAGTCCCGCTCCTGCTTCTGGCTCAGTTCGCCCAGCAGACCACTTAGGTTGGCCACTTGGGCCTTGAGCTCCTTCACCTCCTGGCAGCAGGCGGCCGCTTTGACCTGTGCAGGTGCCTTGCCCTTAGGGGGCTTCTGCAGCCACGCTGGGTGGCTGACAAAGGCCACGATGAAAATGCTGAGCCAAGTCACAGTGAAGAGAATCTTTGTCATCATTTTCTGTGGGCCTGGGTGGGGGGCCTCTTCCTTTAGGGGAACCTGGCTATGTCTGGGAGAGGTCTGCAGAGCGTGGCAAGCCTCTACCCTCACTCTGGACGGCTCCTTACACTGAACTGTTTTCTCTGTCCTTGGTCTTCCTTAGCCTTCCTCAAAGCTTGAGTTTCTGAAAGTGGAGCGTAATGGATGCCCTGTCCCTTTCCTTCTCAAGCCTAAGTGCTCTACCAAGACGGCATCTTAAATATTGTCTGTGCTGCACCTCCGCCCCTGCCATGGCCCGGCACACGGCTTTAGCCCCTCCCACCTCTTCTGGGAGGGTCAGGTGCCTGTTGGGTGAAGTCAGCATAAACTTTGGCCAGAGGAGGGGAGGAGGGAGACGGGGCGGCTTTCTTTCCTTGCCTGCACAGTCTCTGAGCTGAGACAGAGGACTGTGAATTTGTGTTTCCAGTTTCGTCTGTTAGATTATGGCCCCTGCCAGCCGCTGGCTCAGCGCTATCAGCAAGCAGACAGGGTCACAGGAATTTCCAGACGCCATCCTAAAGGTTATATAACCGTGGGAGGAAGGTGAGGTGGGGGGAAGAGAACTGGGAAGAGGGCGACTTACGGAGGGAGACCTGTGAATGTAGTCCATGCTGCTTATACGAGCCTCTGATACATTTTGGCATCCTGTGGAATGTGCTTTTAGGCTGGATAGTCCTTTCTCTGGTCACTATTCAATGTTTTACAAGATCCTTATTCAACCTGGGTCTAACATGATCTCATATTTGAAGTTTTCCAGCCTAGAAAGTTCTAGAAATAGGAAGGTAGAGTAAGTCTCTTAGGAAGCCAAAAGTGAATTCATGGGGCTTGTGTGCTCGTCTTTCTCTCTACGTACTTTCTCCGTCCACACAGAGCAGACCAACGTTAGCTTCACACATCGGAAATTTTGCAAGGAGATGTCAGAAGACTACAGAAGAGATGAAAACTCAGCCGTGCCACAGTGGGTCTAAGACTGGTCACCCCATTCTGTCAGTCCCTTTGCAGAACAGAGAGCAGGGCCCATGGTCCAGACTTGAAATGTGTGCGTATTAAAGTGTAGAGAAAAGACTCCCTGTCACCTAGCAAGTCCACACCGTGAGTTACATTGCCTCTTCCCTTGCACTTTGAAGCTAGTCTCCTACCTACTATGACTTTGTATCTAAAAAACAGGGATATTGCAGTTGTCGTGTACCGTATTTGACAGGCACTACTGTTTTGAAAACAATGTAAAAATACAGAATTTCAGCAATCCTGAAAATAAGCTTTTCACTGAGACTGTACACAAAGGTGTCTGAGTCCTTGAAACAGAGGCTCTGTCCCTGGAACATGTGCTTGCTGGTTCCACGTCGGGGGCCACCGAGGCAGGTGCGTGTCTGTTGACATCCAGCGTGGGCCCTTCCTACGCAAGCCTGGCGTCCAGCAGCTCTTCCCGGCCCTAATCCCCCAGAACCCTTTTCCAGTCAGGGCCTCTGGCTGCTTGGAAAGTGATTGCTGCTCAGACATCTGGAATTACCAAACAAGTTTTTGTTTTTTAATGGAAAAGCAGGAGGGGCTCGAGTGGACCAGGGCTTATTTCCTTAGCATCCCTTGTTTCTTTGCCTCCTTGGGGGTAAGGACATTGTTGGCATCCAACAGCAGCTTCTCATTCTGCTCAGAGACTCTGTTCAGAGTTGAAGGGTCTGTGGGTCCTTGCTTTCTTTTTGTAAATGTCTAGCCCAGCGGGGTGCTACAGCCACATTAAATCAACTCCATGGAGCTGATTCAGTAAGGAGAGCCTAGCCTTGATGGTTAGCATCCTATAAAATCTGCTAAACTCCATGGGGATCTTCATGCGCTTAAACTGCAGGCCATCAAAATGCCACACATCGTGCAGACACATGGAGTAGCCCATGCGACCCTGGGACTCGTGGAGCTCTGTGGGGTCCTGGCCAGCTTTTTGTTGGTTCGTCCCAGTGCCACTTTGCTCCCCCAAAAAGGAATATGTTGTGAGTCAGTTTTCGTATTGGCAGAAAATGAATCATTCGTATTTGCAACCCATGTCGCATCGTTTTAGGAAAAGTGGAAGAGGGTTCATAAGCGTGAATCAGAAGCATCTAGCTTTTAGCATGAGTGTCTGGTCTTTGACATTTATTTTCTGGGAATTTATTTCTAACATAAAGGATAACTTGGAGACAGAAGCTTTTCCTATTTGAAGATTTTCTTTTAATTGTTTGAGCTGCCCAAATGTCGATAAATCTCCCAAGTTTTGAGAAAAATAACTAATTAAGGGTAGTTCCCATGCTAGAATATTACCTGTTTTCTAAGACATCCTCAACTCTCTGATGTCCTAGATTCTGATTTCTAAAAGGCAAAGTCAGCTCTTGTTTTGGGCACAGCTGAGCTGTGGAGGATGTCATGAATACCTGGAGGACCCTGGTGGTTCCCTTCTCCAAAGCTTCTGATCCCTTCTGCCTTTCAATGAGCGGAGTGCCCATAAAAATGCGAATTAATTAGCAGGCGTGGTGGCACACGCCTGTAACCCCAGCACTCAGGAGGCTGAGGCAGAAGGATCACTGTGAGTTTGAGGCCAGCCTGGCTACATAGTGAGTTCCAGTCCAGCCTGAACTACATGGCAAGACACTGTGAAAGCACAGCTTACAGCAGCATTCCACCTGGAACTCAGCACAAAGTCCGGCTCGGAATGTGTCGTTGGAACTGGTTGAGTGAAAGGTGAACTCCAAATGGAAAAAGTTTTCTTCCTCCAGATACCTATTCTAGAGACGCAGGAGAGCCTCTCCACAGTAACATCCAGTATTTTATCATGGTACAGCCATCATGTTCTGTCCTGCTTTAACTCCATTGTGGTTCTTTTGGTGTTAAGTTGTAGCATCAAAGAAAGTGGGAGCAGGAAGAGTTGAGATCACTGGGTGACCCTCCTTTAAATGAGTAACTTTGCCTCACTCCCCTCTCCTTACTTGCGGAGATTAACGGGAAGGCTGCAGAGCATTTCGGACCCTGCTCCTGCTCATTCTGGAGGCTTATGCATGTGCCATGTCTGATTACTTCAGCCTGCAGCAGCCTGGGGTCCATACGCAGCTACTAACGTTGAAGAAAGGACAAAGAATGTGACATTTCTCCATAAAACAGCCTGGTCCCTAGGCAGCTGTATTGCCCATAATTTATCCAGGAACCTAACACATCTTGTCTGGCCCAAAGGGGGATCAGATGCCCGTTACGTTGCAGTGTCGGTAAATCACTCTTAGCCAGAGACAAGAATCCTATCAGGACAAGGTCACAGGTCTGTGCCTCCACCACCCCGTGACCTGCAGGGCTTCTGTTTGGGCTGGACCGCCATTCTAACTGAGGCACTGCAAGCTGGAAAACAGAACTGTCATTCTTTAAGAATGTAGGAGGCTCCATGCCAGTCGCTCCTGAGCAACAAGTCGATGGCAGGGGTGGTTGGGCTTCCCAGCCTGCGGCTGAGGGGCAGGATGGGCGAACGGAATCCATTCTGTGTCTGCACTGTAAACTCGTGCCTCCAAGATGACCGTTTGTGCTGCCGGGAGCATATTTGTTCCTGGCTTTCAGAAAGGTGTGTAGTCCTGTCCTCTCTCACACCTCTGCTGGAGGAAAAAGTACTCAGAAAGGTGAGGCTTTGCTCCCTGAAGAGCACATTCCTACCCCTGGATCGTGCTGACTGCAGAGGTGCCAGAGGGCCTCAAGGAACCTGTGTCCTTGGAAAAAAAGCCCCAGGAAAGTCTGCCGGAACTCAGGGGTAATGCGTGTGCTTAGCATGAGCCCAGCACCAAAACCAAAGCACCACACAGTCAAGAGTGGGAGGACAGAGGACACCTGTGGAGTCAAAGCACAAACCATGGGTTGTTTCTTTTGTGCCCTTGTAGGTTCAGCCCACACAACAGGCCAAGTCCCTCGGCAGTTATCGAGGGTTGTAGGCTCTCAGTGTCCAGTGTGCCTTTGGAGAGTGTCTTACATGCCCCAGCGCAGCATTTCCAAGCAGAAAGCTGGCCGTCCATAAGGCATGGGCGGAGAAGGATCCTCTGTATAGTTCGGGCCCATGTCAAAGGAGGAAGCTTGTGTCGTCAGTAGTAAACCTCCACTTTTCTCCCACACCTAGCACATCCTCAGGAACGCCCTCAGATTTACCGGGACTGCTCTTACAGTGAGTTAGAGGAACTGCTTTGCCTTTTATGAAGTACTGGGAGAGGTGGGAGACACGGCTGGCAGTGGAACTGCGTTAAGAGAGCTCTGCAGCCTTCCATTGTGTGCTGCATCCTAATTTTAGGGCTATTGAAGAAGGAAGAGTGTGCATCTTAGAATCAGTGAAATATAGCACGTGCTGGGCTCTGCCTCCTGACGGCCTCTGACACCCATCCCAGTGACAATGCAGTGTGACAGTGGTGACACCCCCGGTCCCTCCACGTTCTTCTGGACATCTCATTGCCTATGAATCCTGGTAATCTAACTAGAGTGTGTCACACTTCTCTTCTGTAATCTTTCTTCTTACCAAGAAGGGAGGCATAATTTTTCTCCCCTCTGATGGCAGAGTGGGCATCAGTCTTCGTACATTGTGGCCCAACTCCTTCACGGAGAGGCGGGCCAGCTCACATCTGCTTATACAGTTAGCTGTGGAGAGCCAGAAGCTGCCAGATCACTAAGTACCAGCTCATTTCATTTTTGTTTCTCAACTTCATCCACATAATAGACTGAGTCAGAGCTCTTGAAAATTCAGGAGCCAAGAAATGAGGGTTTCTACCCAAAATACCCATTCTGCTTTGAGTCACAGTAGATGAAAATGAGCTCTGGGTTCAATCCGTCAGCCTTTGCCCCTTTCGTTCATTTTCCTGACAGCTTCTTTTTTCTAATAATCTCTCCCAGAGCTCTTCATTCTGCTGTGGGTATGAAAAGGCAGAAAGAGGGAGAAGAACCTCCAGGCATCCCCAGAAAAGGAGCAGCACTCATTGTTGTAGAATAAAAAGATAATGGCCAATTTGTCAAGAAGTGTTGACAAGAAAGATAAAGTTGGAAGTAATTAACTGGCCGACACGCTGGGAGCGATGTGCCTGCCGATAGCTCCCTAAATCAGCCAGAGCCTTGGAAATGTGACAGCCATTCATCATTTTTACAGCACACCTCTGGCAGGTCCCTCAGTTGGAAAGCAGGCCAGCACAGATCGTGTGCTTTGACACTTGGGCCGTGCACCTCTCTGTGCTTTGTGCTGGGTCCTGCCATAGGCCTTGTGTCCAGCCAGAGGCTGCCTGGAGGCGGGGTGTGAATTGCTTGCCCTGGGCCCACTCAGACTTGCACAGGACACATCACTCGTGGAGCAGAGTG